TCCTTGGCTCCGCCCTGTGAGAGAGAGATGCATCCTAATAACGGTAAAGGCCACGACATCCAACATATTGGATCCGCTAGAAGCCCCTGGAACTCGAAAACGGAACACAGCTGTAGGCTGCATGATGGCGCACCGCTGCATTGGGGTCTACCGAAGCCCCTTGTAGCTGCCTTGGCCCTCTTAGCTTTTGCCCAGTGGTTCTCTGCGGTCCACCGGTCCGACGCTCAGAGTGCAGCTGCTTGCCGCCTTTGTCTTCAGCCTGTTCCGCCGTTGCTGAGCTCCTACTTAGCGTTCGCCAGTCAGCCTACGGCTCAAGGACGCGTCCGTAGCTGGCGAACATGGGGCCGAAGGAGACCAGCCGAAAAGGAGCTGCAAAGGCTACAGCCCGCTCTCGATCCCGACCTAAGGTTAAGGCCAAGGCCAAATCAGGCGCTGATCCGGAGGACTCAGACACCAGCTCGCTCCCCACTTTGTCCTCGCCAGACTCGAGCGAGCTTGACCGCGCCTTTGGTCCGGGATCCGTTGCTGATGGGTCCACTGCCGAGGGGTCACGCCGATACGGCCCGCCGCCGCCAGTGCCCGTCAATGGCCCCATGGCTAGCAGACCGCCTACCAGGCCCATGCGAGGCAGTGCTGCTCTGGGAAGCTGTTTCTCGACTGGAACAGGAAGATCAACGAGCTCGGTTGAGACACAGACTGAGGCCAGCATGGAGCACGGCGGAAGCACAGCTGCGATGCCTACAGGGGTGCCAATGCCCGCTCGGCCGGCTGGGCCGCCGCCTCCTACGCCCGCGGGCTTCCAACCGCCGACGAGCATGCCTCGCCCTCCCTTTGCTACTACCATGCCGCATCCTGGAGCCTCACCGTCTTCCCCGGGAGTTGGCAGTGCAATCCCAACTGCACCACCTGGAGCTGCGATCGCCAAGGCCACGACTTCTTCGCCTTCCAGGCCTCCGACCAGACCCCCTGGAACGACCTCTACGACCTCTGTGCCGGGTTGGACAATCACGATCACGTTTCAGCCTCACCCGTAGGCTGCCAGGCCGAGTTGCGCAGTCGAAGCCGCTCTTCCGACCTTGTCAAAACTGGCGCTGGATAGTGCGCTGCAGCGTCCTGTGGACAGCCCCTCCTAGCCCTTTTGAAGCTGCATTGTCTTCTAATGCGACCCAGGTCAAGCTCATGGTGCTGACGCTCGAACAACTGCGAGCAGGACCTGTCTGCCTTGCGGATGAGACGAGCCCCTGTGATGACAGCATACCCAGGCTCCCCGAGCTCGGCTACTGGATCTTTCCTGGACCTTCCGGGGCAGGCACAACCTTGGCCGCGGTCCTAGTGGGTGATGTGCCTCTCAGTTCTGTGCCTCAGCATTGCTTGCACACTGAGCTGTGGTCTACCGACCGCCCACACCATCTGCGCACTACCCTGTCGCGAGTTTTCTCTCAAGCCCTCAGGGTTGTTACTGGGCTCCGTGCAGGTGGCCTTGCCTGTCTCCTGTCGGCTCCTACCCGAAGCCATCACACCGACGCAGCGGCGATGGCAGCAGATCTGGTAGAGGTGGAGGTTGAAGTCGAGGTTGAGCCTGAGATGCCCAAAGAGCCAGTGGAGCCACCAACTCCACCTCCCTCGTGGTGTTCCCAGCTGTCTCCGGGCACGGAGGTGGAGATTACGGGAGGCTACCGGTCCCGTCTGCACGGCTGCCGAGCGGTCGTTCTTCCGAACCTCGATGCTGACGATCAGACTCGGAACATCCGCCTTCTGGATGGCTCTTTCCCTGAGACCAAGAGGACGCTCACCATGGCAGTGCAGCACCTTCGTCCGCTGGGCGGGGCACCATGTGCAGAGGACGACGGCATGGAGCCGTCACTGCGCTGGAGGCTTCGCCCTCCTCCCCTCACTATCTACAGCGCTCGTTTTCTGGGCTGGGTCGACTACGAGGCAATGGTTCCACCAGCTGCGCCGAAGCGTACCAAGACGGGTGAGCTTGTCACTCCGGCCCTTCGGATGGAGCTACCAGCTCCCTGGACGGCCCATCGGGATCCGCCGACCGGCAAGAAGTTCTACTACAATCCTGCTACCAAGGAAGCCACCGCTATCTGGCGCGCCACCGTGGTGCCTAAACTCGTCTATGGATTGGCTGCCTCGAGCCCAGATCTGCGTGACATCCAGCGCATGCAGCACCTGCTCACCAGGCACATCCGGGCCATTACTCGCCAATTTGCTCACCTTAGCAAAGTCTCCACGCAGGACCTGTACATGCGCTATCGCATTCCTACCCTCCTCGAAGTTCTGCACAAGGAGGCGCATCAGCTGCACATGCAGCTGCAAAACAATACTCGCTACGGAAGTACTGTAGATGACCTGCACTTATGCACCATACGGGAATTTGCGGCCAAACTTCAGGTGTGGAAAGCTCAGCAGTGGGACACCTCGCCTGCATCGGCTCCCTACCCAGTTGATGCTGAAGCCCCCTTTCTCTGCTACAAATGTGGCTGTGCCTACAGCACCTACAGGCTGCTGCGAGTGCACGAGTCCAAGGTCCACTCACAGAAGGCCCCTAAGACGGATCAAGTCCAGTTTGATCGCCAGCTTCACAGCACTGGAGGTGTACCGACTTGTCGTCTATGTGGTCACGTCTTTCGACAGTGGGACAATCTCAAGCAGCACATCAAAAGGAGTAGGTGCCCCAAGCTCCGAGCTCCCACGTGCGAGACACCGGTGTGCGCGACTGGCCCTACAGGAGGGCTGGCTACCTCCGTCGAGCCACCGGCCGTCGTCGCCACTAGCTCACCCGGCGATGGTTTGGACGAGGACAATGCGGCGTCTACCTCTCAGCTTGCCTCCCACATTGTGCCTGACCCCCATGTACCTCTGATACGTCGACCGGAGGTCCTGCAAAAACTACAGGCACATCAGTGGGTCGACCTGGCAAGTGATGCTGTTGTCCAGAAATACTTGCTTCATCACTGCCCGGTCTGCTTTCAGCGGTGTGCTGATGCGGTGGGACTCAAGCATCATCTGGCTCATGCGCACGCCTCCTGGCTCGAGACAAAGGCCGAGGCTCAACATCCGCTTAAGGCATTCCGGAGGGCGATTGTCTTGCCGTGTAGGTTTTGCCATCAGATCAAAGTTAATAAGGACAGGCACTATCTGCAATGCCCTACCCTCAGCATCTGCGCATACCTACAGGCCTGGCATGAGTCCTTTTTCCCTCGAGCAGATGGATCTCAGCCAAGAGGAGGCTCTCTTTTTCGGACAGAGCGACAATCCGGCAGCCCCGCCGCCTTCCAAGCGGCCGCGGCCCGAACACAGCCCGGGCTCTTCGATGCCACAGACGACCAAGGGCAAAGGCAAAGGGAAGAAAGGGAAAGGAAAAGGCAAGCCTCAGCCGCTTCCACCGACGTGGGACTACACCAATGGTTCCGAAAGCTGGGACAGCCCGTGGCCCCAGACGAGGGGGTCCTCTCAGCATCAGCATCATCCCGATGCAACGGACTATTGCTACCACCACATGCAGAACCTCACCAAGCTTGTGCTGCAGCAGGAACAGATGATTGCGTCCCTTCGTCAGGATGTGGTCCTTTACCTGTTTGTCAAGACAGGCCAGGGCAGCATTGTTCCCCTGCTGCACCAGACAGCGGAGCAGTGGCGCCACATGAAGGAGTCCAGCCCGGAGACTCTCACCTACTCGCTGAAGATCGCGATGTTCAAGAAGCTGCTGATCGAGCTCCACGGCCGCCTGGCAACGGTTGCCAAAACTCAGGCAGAGTTGGACAAGGCGAAGCAGCTGAACTGGGTGGACGAGCGCGGACACTGGAGGGTTCTCAAATGGAACCCTCTGAAGAGCGAGCTCCAGGTCGACGACAGCAGGCCCACGGTGCCTACGGAGGACCTGCTCAGGCAAACGGTGGAGCTACGGAAGGGTGTCATAGAGGAGGCCCTCCATCGGTTCAGGAGTCACAAAAGGATGACGGAGAATCCCACGGCCGAGTGGGTACAGTTCCGGATGGAAATTTCCCTGCGTCCCCTGGGCGACCCCATCTGGCACACCCTCCAGGGTTGGGTGGGGCAGGCGGCGTGGCATCTCTTGGGATGCCGTTTGAGACGAGAGAGGCCGCAGTACAACGGCCTGGCCGATCTGGTGCGTCAGGGTCTCTGACTGCCGGTGGGAGCCCCAGCTTGGCCCAGCTACTGCGCATCAAACTGCATAACAGTGGCAACATGTGCTATATCAATGCATCCATATATGCTACAGCATGGTCCGTGCTCCAGCTTCAGCACTCTGGCACAAGAGGCCCGTCACTGCACGCGTGCTACAGTGCACTTCTTGCTGGGGCTGCCAAGTCGTCCCTGGTCAAGGTCATGCAGCTCATGCCGTGGAGACTTCTCCTTGGGCAATGGGCTCAACCAAGCGGCAACATGACATCTGTGAGTTCCTGCACTACCTGATTCCAAGGTGTCTGCGATGGCCCAATGATTTGTCTATCCCAAAATGGGAAGCCAGGCAATTCCGGGATGGCCGCCTTTGCACTCTTGACTCTGGTTCTGCCAATCTGCCTATTCCTCTCCCTCTTTGTCAGGGAGCTCAATGCCATCTTCAGTGGTGCATAGATGGCTGGCACATGCAGTCCAGCGTACATGCCTTACTGGGACCAGCCCCTTTGGTCTGTCTGCAGCTGCTTCGCTTTCACAATGAGGATGGGGTTGTGCGGCGGGATCCACGGCCTTTGATAGGCCACCTGTCTACAGTGCACCTCCCTGTCTATGAAAGCAGCAGTGCCTCAGAGCGAGACAATCTCGAGTGCTTCCACATGCCCTACCAGGTCGTGGCTCTGGCGTTGCACTACGGGGCTTCGCCCACTGAAGGGCACTACAGAGCAGTATTGCGGGGACAGTTGCTTTACGGGGCAGGCAAAAGCTGGATTACAGACGATAACTGCAAAGCGCGCTCATTCTGCACTGATGAAGATACGACTGCAAATCGTGAAGCTGTTTATGTGATTTGGCTAAGATGCGAGCCAGGTCACTCATGAGACGAAGCGTGACAAGCCTAGGTAGTATGTCGCTGGTCACTGGACCCGACATAGACTCCAATGAGAGTCCGATTTACCAAATGGTAAATCGCTAGCTCGCTAAGCCGACTGTTGGACGTCAGCGGCGTGGGGAATGAATACTACTATTAC